CTTTCAAAAAATAACGGCCAATAAATCCTATATTATTGTAAGGGACGGATTCTATTCTTAAGGATCCTGAATAGACCATTTTCTTCATGAAATGGCTAAGATAATACGAATGTGGGATCCAAGGCAATTTGTAAGTAGCGCTATCCTTTTCATATTCTTCACCAAGATCAAACGTTAATACTAACAAAGCATTATCAGACACATTGGACCTGATGAAGAAACCCAATCTTAAAGTATCATTTTTATCCCTAAAACAAAGAAGACGACCAACTCTCATCAAAGTATTCCTAACTATAGGCAGCTTTTGAATTTCTTCAACGATTTGGCCATATAAATTTTCATAATCGGCTAACAAATTATAGGTTTCTTCAATATTTTTCAAATTACATATAGAACAATCTTCTAACTTAGTCTCATTTAGTTCTTCTGATAAGCGCTTTACAGTGACTTCGTGTTCTGGTAGTAAAGTTTGAGTTGAATTCTCACTGAACGAATGCTTAATCATCTCTTCAACACGCAAAGCTTCAATTCTCAAAAGATTCAAGATCATGTTATACGTTAATCTGAATTGAGACAGCAATTTCGTTGGAGTACCTAGAGTTACATCCTTGAAATCAGTAGGCGATAAAGGTTCGTTAAATGACATGACAATGACTGTCCCAGTATCATCCAAACCTCTTCTACCTGCTCTTCCAGACATCTGCGTAAATTCACCAGGTAACAAGTTTCTAAACCCTCTGCCATCATGCTTTCTATATGTGTTGAAAACAACAGTTCTAGTAGGCAAGTTCAACCCCATTGCAAATGTTTCCGTAGCAAATAAAACTTTCACCAAAGATTTTGCAAATAATATTTCAATACATTCTTTGACTATAGGTAATAATCCACCATGGTGAACTGCAATACCCCTACTTAAAAAATCTCTGATTTTGATTATTTGCGGCAATTCCCGGTCTTCTTTCTTTAATCTAGAAACTGCTCTGTCGATGAACATATGTACTTCTGACTTTTCTCTTGCATTGCAAAAATCTACATTGCTTAATGTGTCGGCAAATTCTTCACATTTTTTCTTTGAGAAAACGAAAATGACAGCAGGTAATAAATTGTGTTGCTTCATGTATTGTACGAGCGAAACCCATGTATTTTTATTTGGCCCGTCTCTAGTTAATCCACCTCTACCACCCAGAAAGTTTCCTCTACCTCTATTTGCTACTTGTCCTCCTCCTCTGTTACCACCTCTGGCAGTTCCTCCGCGCCCACCGCGACTACCTGCTCCCATTGTAACATTAGGTGGTTCCTTCTTATTTCCCTTTTCCAAAATTTCTTTATGCTTCTTAAACTCAATATCTGAAAATTTCCGATTCGCGTCAATAGCCTTGAATAAATGATCTTTTGCCCATATGAATATTTCTAATGGAACTGGCCTTTTCGGCGTTGAAATTACGTATATGTCTTTTTGTTTTGTCCTACCAACCCAGTTTGCAAATTCATAAGTATTAGGCACAGTAGCCGATAAAAGAATGTATTTCACATGATCAGGTAGCATAATGATTACCTCTTCCCAGACAACACCACGATCGATATCGTTCACATAGTGAACTTCATCAAAAATCACAAATTCCACGTCACGGATAAGATCAGCTCCTCTGTACAACATAGACCTCAAAATCTCAGTTGTCATAATAAGGCAATTGGCTTCTGGGTTTATTTGAACATCTCCTGTAATCAAACCAACATCTATGTCTTTAAATGTCTCTTTGAAATCTCTGAACTTTTGGTTTGATAATGCTTTAATGGGTGAAGTGTAAATAGCTTTGGTCATATTCCTGGTTGCCATGGCGATTGCATATTCTGCAACAACTGTTTTACCGGCAGACGTATGAGCTGCAACGAAAACAGAATCTCCTTGTTCCAAATGATATACAGCTTCTTGTTGAAAAGTATCTAGCTCAAACGGCCATTCTCGTGCCATGTTCGGAATAACCTCTTTAAAGTTTTCTAATTTATGGTCCAAATCAACAACATGAGCCCAACTTTTCTTGTGTTCTGGAGCTTGATCCATCGATTGTTTCATACTGGCATAATCCAGTGGGATAATACCATCTATATCTTCAGATTCAAATGGGAGTCGGTTATCAGGTTTCGAACCTTGCTCCAGAAGGTTATTTGATTCTATAAAATTCTTATCTTCCAATGTTGATTCTTCAGATTGAGAATCTTGAGGTTCCTTGATTTGCTCTAAATTAACAATATTATCATCCAGGACCGTTGAATCCAGTATATTCAAACCTCTGGATAAACCTTGCGGAATATCAAATAAACCCATTTCGTTTCTATGTAAAAATGCTGATTCGTCCTTTGCGGCATTGATCATCGACTTCTTGTCCAATAAACCACCTGGTTGAAACGGTAAAAATGTTGATTTCCCTCTCAAAGCATCACTCTTGGATGTAAACTTTCTATTTACGGACAATGAGTTACTCGAATTTGCATTATCTAAGTCTGAAAGACGCAATTCCTCCTTATACCCATCAACCGTACCCGCGATGCCTGACCGTTTAAACCTAAAAGATGTTCTACTAATAGGACTAGGTACGTTTAGCAATCCATCATAAAGTTTGTTTTGGTTTACTTGTGGCAAAGATTGAACTAAATCCAATAAATCCCATGATAACTGATTCGAAGGGGTTAATAATTCATCTGAGATCTCTTGATTTGTATCTTCCCTAGATATTTCTTGTTCTAAAAATTTTGTTTTTGTATGAGGGTCTCTTACATTATTAAATGTATCGAGAATTGTTTCTCCTGCTTCAATATCTGTCGTCTCGGTCATACTACTTCACTCCAATTATACAGAATCAAACTATGTTAGGAGTTTTATGCAATTTCGTATTTTATAAAATGCTATTAATTTGTTTAGTCGTGGAAGGAAAACCAAAAATTGCAACTACTATAAAACTATCGAAAATAATCCTACTTATATTAGGAATGCTATAATGTACAGTATAAACAGTGGGTATATATAAATCAACTCTAATATTGCTGGTTATTTATAATTTAGGTTTAGCTGAATCAATACCACCTGCGGTAGCATCAGCGTTTATTTCTAATTTTCCAACTTCATTTTCACCTCTTGGATCCTTGCCAAAAAAGACGACAGTGACAGTTAAATCATCTCTATAACGTCTTGAAACAGGGTTAGGAATAGATATTAACATGGATGTTTGTTCTCTTGAACCACCGTTAGACAAGGCATTTCTGATCAAATGAGTTGAGACATTTCTATCTTCTAACAAGAAACCGCCATATCCGCTAGATTGTTTATTCTTTCTAAATGGTTGCTTTGAAGACTTATCATTAGTGATATCAGATACCTCTGGTAATTTATTTTCAGTAGATCCAAAGTAATTCCAGAACGATTTTTGAGGTTTGACCATTCTTTCTTTTTCCATCCACTTTACCACAAGGCCAATAATTTCTTCGTTAGAGAGCATTTCGTACAAACCGTCGGATGCCATTACCAAGAAATCATTGTTTTCCGGGTTGATCTTAGTGGTCGTAATAACAGGTTCAGCAGTAACATAAGGGGGTGACTTTAAATTGTTTGGAAGTCTTCTACCAAAAAACTGCTTGTAAATTCTTTCTTGAATCGATGCAGGTAATTTGTAACGACAATCACCAAAAGCTCTTGTAGGTTCTAACGTACCCAAGACTCTTCCATTTCTTACCACGTTCGGCTCATCAGGATGTTCACTAATGATACGAGCGACTTCTGTTGGGTTTGATCCTGTTTGGTCAATACTCAATTGTCTGACAGTCCAATGATTATCCTTGAATGACCCAAGCAATGCTCTAGAATCACCTGTAACCGCAACCTTCAACAATTTGGAATTGGTATCGTAGAATGATAACAACGCACACGAGCCTGACAACGCAGGCATCAATAATTCAGCCGCTTTGGCCTTATTATTATCATTCAACAATTTTTCCATGTTTTTATTTACAACTTCATGATCCAACTTCAAAAATCCATTCTTGATTGCTTGGTCGATGGTGGCACCGTTTGGAACGTATCTCAAGTTATCTTCATTTGTTGGCTTGAAAATCGTTCCCAACTCATGTACAATGTAGCTAATCAATTGATCTCTTAATTTGCTACTAGTAGTCCAGCCACCATGTCCATCAAAGACACCAAAAAACATCCAATCAGTGGATGTCTTGATGTTGTTATCCTGCAAGATAGGCACTTGCACAATCTCCTCGGCTCTATCATCCTCGATAGGAGAGTTGGAAGGCAATTGACAGATATCGTATCTTGTGACGCCCTTTCCCCTGTTGACCGAATAACTTTCTTCAAATTGTCTCAATCTTTTACTCACTTGTTCGTCATTCAATAAAAACACCCCTTGTTTGTGCTGTTGGTTCCCAATGCTATTTTTTTGGTGCATGGAATTAGTAGACGTAGAAAAGTATCTCGAATCATCCCCAATCACCGTGGTATTTGATGGCGGAAAAAGCTTAGGACTGATCCCGGATCTACTTCCCCCACCAACCGGTGGAACAGTATCCAAGTTATAATAATTAGACTGGTTGAACGAAATATACGATCCAATAATAATGATTCCCGATACCAATGCGACATGTCTCTTCTTAAAGAACTTACTTGTCTTCTCTGTCACTTGTCTGTTTACTTTCGATGCATTTGATAATGTGTTAGATGATTGAAGGAGTTTTTGTGTACTGGATGATATTAATCGCTTGTTACTTTGTATTTGCCTATTGGCTATGTAAACTAGTCTAGGCCTAACAGCTAACATAAAAACCATATTATCTATCAGTTACGTTTAAGAATCAATTAGATAGATTATCTCTGTAACCCTTTAATTATAAATTGCTTTGAGCATGAGCTGGATTAGAAAGGTCAAAATTACACAAAATCGCCAAGGTAGTCTTAAAGATTCTTAAAAGCTCTTATCACGATAGCCAGCCGGATACCTGGACTACGGAGCAGTACGATTGTTAGCATAAAATAGAATTAAACCGACAAATGTATTTTTTAAGTAAATATACAAACTAGCAGACGCTACAAATAATATACAAACGATATATCGTACCAAATCCTGATAGCAACACCACAACGTCTGTGCGTTACCTAAAACACACGGCACGCCTAGAGCACTTGGATACAATGTCTCCAAATATAAGACCACCCACAGACAAGGGTCCATGGCAGTCTCTCACATCCCACAATATATACTTTCCAGATCCCCACTATCGTTTGCGCACCATAGGCAGCCTTGTGCCAGCTGGAAACCGCAAGTTAAAGTCGCCAGTCTGCTTAAGCAGCAATGGTGACTTCGACATCCACACCTGGTTCGATGGTGATTTGAGTGATCTTCTTGACAATAGAAGCTTCAGCTTGTAAGTCAATGACACGCTTGTGGATTCTCATTTCGTAGGTGTCCCAGGTCTTAGAACCTTCACCATTTGGAGACTTTCTGGTGGTGATCTTTAAAACCTTGGTTGGCATTCTAACTGGTCCCTTCTTAACAATTTTGTTTTGAACGGCATTTCTGATGATGTTAGCAGAAACGTTTTCTAATTGCTTAACTTTGGTGGAAGTTAAAGTAATTCTGATTTTAAGAATTTCTTGTTCTTGATCTTGAACCTTTTCCTTGTTGATTGGAGCTGACATTTTGACGGTATTGTTCGACGTTGTTAGATTTTAAAAGGAATTAAGTATACTTTTCATCAAATGGGTTGAAAAATTCGTACCCTAGAGCATGAGAATGCGACCAAAAAAAAAAATTTCTTTGAAGTAGTGTGTTACCCAATAGGGTTGTAGCCCTATTATTTGGTGTAGATGGTTCCTTCTATCAGCTACGTGGTAGATAGGAAGGGGATGGCAAGTGGATTGGGACGGGTTGTTTGTAGGCGTTGAAGATTAGAACAGGAGCAGATATAAAAGAGTTTTGATTTTGGGGACCATGATCAACTATGTAAATCGTGGAGTTTTTATTTAAGCACACAATGGGATATCGTGCGTTTTGGGGCTTCGATAATAGTTTAATAGAAAGGTAATGGTTTCTAAGATTGGCGATGGGTTAGAAGTGGGATACTGGATTGTTGTGGTGATGGTATATCATTTTGGCATCGCCAGAATGGCCGAAGTAGAGGTACAACTAAGACTGAAGTATAGAGCTATCAACTTTGCAAACAACCCTGCAAAAGTTCAAATTGTCACGTCCAACCCAGTAAGAGATTACGATAGACGCAGTTAGCTATCTCTAATTGGAGGCTCTAGATGCTTGTGTATACTCGTCGGTGCCAACTCCTACATTATCGGGCAAAGCGTATTTTACATCCGCCGTTTGCATAAACCATATAACTTGCATTAATCATATAAACATATATTCTAGCCACATTGGCTTAGATATAGCCGTGGTTCTTCTTCTTGCAATCCTTTAAAAATGGCTCAATAAATTTACCCCAGTTTTTCTTCTTGTAATTATTTTCGCAGCCGTAGTCTCTACACTGATCAAGTTCCTTCTGGAATTGCTTTGAGCAGAGGCATTTTGTAGGATTTTTCTGTTTTTCACACTCTTTACCTAACGAGATGACTTCCTTACATTGTCTGTCACACCATTTGGCAGGCCATTCTTTTGGATGGCTCTTGTGGTCATCATCATGGTCGTTGTGATCATCTTTGTGATCATCACCGTCATGTTTACCTGCTTCAGCAACAACAGCAAAGGCAATAGTAATAATAGTAGCAATTGATACGAATTTCATTTTATCTTGAGTAAATTTGAGTGTTTGAAAGATAGTTAGATATTTGACCTCAAATACTTACCATTTTATAATAAATGATGAAATGCATTACACTGTTGGTCGATGTGAGTGTTTTTTTTTTAATGAGAGGATAAAAAATACTTTATCTGGTTTAAAACACCACATATCATTCAGCTTAAGAGGGTTTGGCTAACAAACGGAGTGTAGGTACATGTGTATTGATTCTTGCTTCTGGACCCAGATTTGCAAAAATCTACAAATATCGCACAAATCAATTAGTAAAGCATATACGTAAACTTAGTTGCTAGTTGATAGTAAAGACCGCACAAGATCTGGTATTAAATTATAAGTAAACATTGCCACCTCGAATATATGAGTTTCAACTACGTTTCCGGGAATCTGCATTGTAGGATTGTTGCTGCAGCGTAATTTCTCACCTCACATACAAGTGGTATATTTGAAAAACTAACCACCTAACGTTTTTAAATACGGCAGTATCACGTTCCCATGTACGAAGCCAATTTTTCATATGCTTCGCCTTTGCCTCTTAAATCTTTTGCTGTTTCTACTTTTAGTCCAACATGAGACCGCATGTATTCGCATCTGCTCCGATTTTGCAGCTTTACTAAAGGTTGTATTTACCAAGATCTGGCCATCATATTAAAAATAGTTTTTCGTACTCCCACTGGTCTCCAGCGTAAAGTTAAAATACCGTGCTCAGTACGTAAATAATTTCAGGGGAGTTGCTCCATAAGCAGTTTTCATAGCAGGCTACAAAATGCTTTCGGGTTACAATACCCTGAGAAGAGTTGACCCTGGAACTAGATTTACGTGCTCACGGTGATTCACTTATGTTGAATTACAGCGTGGTAAGTAGGGCTAATTTGAACTGTAATTGTTTATAACACCTATGTACAAAATATATGCAAGACTAAACCGACAAGGATTTTAACTCTTTTTCGAGGCCCCTAACACACTTCCACATCAAGCTGATTTCCGCAGCATCGGCATATCCACTCGTCGCCCATCTAATACGCCCCTGGTGATCGAGAACATATATATAACCAGAGCACGTATTGTCGCACAATAACTCTTGTTTGATATCAAACAGAAATAGCTTGTCCGACACTATAAAGTACTTGCTTTGACGTTGTTGGGGAAGTGATCTTTTAATGCTGCCACTCGACAATTTAACAAGAAGGCCTTTCAACCAATTCTGAGGAATATTTATATCAATAATTTGAGACATTGGATGCTCCGCTTCAAAAGCACTATATCCCGACGTTAAATAATTCTTGTCTTCCACATTGAAATACGTTTCTGAACACTTTTCGCCCGATACTGTCGAATACAACCGTACAATACTCACCTTGCCCTCTAACAATCCGAATAAAGTCTGATCTTGGCCATCCACCGTAGTGCCACCAAAATTAGGAAAGTACTTTGATTTATCACGCTTGAAGAACGATACTGGGGGCGTAAAAATCTTCCCGTTGGTATTGGTAAACGACTTGGACTCGTAGAATGGAGAATGGGCGATTTCGTAGTCTAACTGCTTTTGTCTTCTCTCTTTAGCCTCTGATCCAAAAATCTTGTCTTGAATAGATCCACCCGAGCCGTGGCTTGCCTGGTTGATCATTACACCCGAATCTAATCCAAATGGTCTTGTAATCAGATGTGATTTGGTTAATGCCGGCTTACTGGCTTCTTTAAGCGTCTGAGTGAATCTTGGTGCTTTTACATTGAGCAACCTAGAAACTTGAGAGAATGTCCTCGTTTGAATCTTAATCATCTCTGCGGTTCAATACTTATACTCCCAACTAACTTGGATGAATATACACCTGTAGAGACTAATATAAATGGTGAAGTTGATATCGCTACTCTTTCTGGTCAAAAAGGTTACCCGCATTTTTATACGTTCACAGCAGATTGAATATGTTTTCTAGTAGATTATTATGAATGGACATTTAATCAAATAGTTCATGTTAATTATAAACAATCTATATTAGTTAAGTGAAGTATTGTAACAATGTCTATTCAATTAACCGATGGGTTGGCTAATCAATCCGTTGACCTAGTACTAGAAGACTTACTTGTGAGGTTTTTAGTAAATGTGCCCGATGAAGATTTATCATCAATAGAAAGAGTTTTTTTTCAGATTGAAGAAGCACAATGGTTTTATACCGATTTCGTTCGACAATTAAACCCGTTGTTGCCTAGTATGAAGATGAAGAGTTTTGCTACGAAGCTTTTGAAGAAATGCCCGTTGATTTGGAAATGGGGAGACCCTGCGGACGCTATATCGCGGTTTGGGAAGTATAAGTCGACAATTCCAGTTAGAGGTGTTGCATTGTTCAATAAGGATCTCACAAGAGTGGTGTTGGTGAAAGGAACAGAGTCGAACGCGTGGTCATTCCCACGAGGCAAGATATCGAAGGACGAATCCGATATAGATTGTGCGGCGAGGGAAGTCGAAGAGGAGACGGGATTCAATGCTAGGGATCTCATCAATGAAAACGATGTAATAGAGAGAACAATAAAAGGTAAAAACTACAAAATTTACTTGGTTAAAAATGTGCCAGAAGATTACAATTTCCAACCGCTTGCTAGGAACGAAATATCGAAGATTCAGTGGCATGACATAAAGAGCATACAAAAGAAATCGAGATCAAACCCTAATAACTTCTTCATTGTGTCTGCAATATTGAAGCCTATGCTCGGGTGGATTAATAAAAATAAGGGTGTCTTGAACGAGGAGGAGTTAATATTGCAAGCCGAAATCAAGTTGAAATCACTCCTTGGAATCAGCCAACCAAAACAAGAAAACTTAGATGCGGGAAGAGAATTGTTGAATATTTTGCAAGGAGTTACTCCAAGAGACAGTCAAATTGGAAATAACACACAGACTATGCCGGCTGCATATGACCAAATCATTCAAATGAATCTTCCTCAACATTTGCATAAACAGTTTCCCTTCTTTAACAACCAACCTATTCAACCTCAGCCTTATCCTATCCCAAACCAACCATTTTTTGTCCCACAAATGCCCCCCAATGCGTTTGCCCCTATGAATATGTCTCCTGTGAGGTCTCAACCGGCGCACTATCAGCCTATGCCTCCACAAGGGCCACATATTCCAAGAGAACAAGATTCTTTATCCAATGATTATATAAATCAACAACCAAATCCTCTGTCTTTGCAAAAGCCAACTTCAATTGCCAACAGAAGACCATCAGGTGTCAACTCAAAAGAATTCTTGTCCATATTGAATAAGCCAAGAAATAAAGAAGAAGAAGATACCAGGTTATCCGGTGAATCAAGATCCAATGATCACGTTAGCAATCGCTCTAAAGCACAAGATTTATTGAGTTTGTTCAATAAAGATAAACTAACTGCCATTGATGATGCTAAATTTACAGAAGGTCTGCCAAGTGACGCTAGAGGTAAAAGCAAAAATGGATCGTCGAATGGATACGATCACGATTTTGTAAGTCCGCATGAAGCATCAAACGAATTGGAAGAATCTTTGATAGGTTCGGAAGATAAGGCTAATCGCAAGACAACAGAGCCTGGTAAGAAATTGACTCTTTTGAAAAGGCCTACTGATGCAGGATCTGACTTAATGTCCTCTAATAGCTCCGCGTCGGCTGATATCTTAAGGATGCTTGGAAGTGCGCCCAAAGCTGAATCTAAAAAAGAAACAGAAGATGTCAAACAAAACCAATCAAATGAAATATTGGGATTATTGAAAGGTAGCAAGAAAGAACCTGAACAGAATCCAAGCAATAGAGCGACCTCCAAAGAACTATTAGGCTTGATTAATCAGAAGCCCACTGATAATAGAAAGGTAGAAGACCAAGCACAATCTTTCAAAATTGGACCAGATCCTGAGATAAATACAAGCCCTGAGGAAGAAGATTTTGACGATTTTGAAGACTTTGAAGACTTTGAGAATCTTGATGAGTATGCATCTCGTCACGGACACGTTCGTAATGAAACTAGTCATAATTTTGACATCGCAAGCGACGATGAAGATATCTATGAAACTCCGCAAAGCTCTTCTATTAATGATATTAATGAAAATCAAAATACTCATACAGAGAAATCTGTACCCGATGCTAAGAAGAATAAGATTAGGCTTCTCAAACCAGGTGAAAGTTTAAATGACATTATAGGTAAACCTGATGCACCACTTCAACAATCTGTGGATTCACCAACTATAAACAGAATTCAAGAGACAAATCAGGAAAGAGACAATGTAAATGATGGAAGACTGTTATTGGATATATTAAATAGTGGAAAGAACCAGAACAAAAAAGAAGTAAACCAAGCCCCACCTAAAGATTATAACTATTCACCAAATTCTATGGATTTCGGCTCCGTCTATGGCCCTCCTCGAACGAATCATCAACCTTCACCTGGATATTTTTCTCCAAACTCAGCTGCTGAAAGAACTGCATTTTCACCATTCGAAAACTCGAATTCTGGTTTCCCTATGAATTCTCAGACCGATTCCCCATCTACTGTACAGTCGCATAATAACTCAAATCCTGCTTCAGCAAGTTTATTGAGTCTACTTGGGAAAAAACCTCCTGCACAGCTGAGTTACCAACCATCGCCTAAAACGCAATCACTACAACCTACAAGTGCATTAACTCTTGATGAAATAGAGGGTGCACAACTTGGTCATATGTCACCTCAACCAGTGGCACCACCTCCAGTACATTCATATACTAGTGAAGATGCAAGTAGCCCAAAATCACGCCCTGCGGAGGGTCAAGGCTCATCAGCTCGTACTTTGCTTGACTTACTTAAAGGAGGCAGGTCCTGAAGCAATATTTATGCATTATAAAATATTAAATGTTTATTTCTATTTGCATTATAGTTTTCGAAGTTACGATTATTTAGTTTTATAGCACTCGATGTATATTTAAGCAACTTTCAACTTAGTTCCAGCACAATGGTAGTTACATGTCAAAGAACAGATTCGCATCAACTTTTCTAACAATAGGTCTTCGTCTCTTCGGCTTCGCAATAGATCTCAATGGGAGCTTCTTCTCACTTGCTCTAAACATAACAGAGTCATCCTTCTTATTTTCTTCATGCCTCTCTATGTTCTGCAGTTGACCCAGAAATTCATATTTGTTATCAATGACATAGCAATATATTTTGGACTGTGCCCTCAGGTTTCGAAAATGAACTCTTGTTGACCAAACCTCTTCTAATTTTTCAAAATCATTTTCAGCTGAGGTGAAGGTATTTTCATGAACCATGATATCTAATACTATACTATTTCTAACCAGAAATAAATAAGACATTGAATTTGTTGTATACAGAGGGAAATCTGTAACAATTGGGTCCTTTGTTATTCTACTTGAGTAGTTCTTATAAAGGCAGTGAAGCTTAAGGGCCAAAGGCAATTTTCTAATAGATTTAGATTCAGAGTCATCATCTAATATAAACCATCGTGTGCCATCAATGAAATCTGGCAGCTCATTTTTAATATTCTGAAGTTTGGTAGCAAAGTTAGAAGAGGATATTTTTATATCACACTCAATATATGAGAGGGAACATCTAGCGTCGGCATCGTTTGAAAGACAGAGTAAGTACTGAAGACCTTTGTTTGTAACATTGGGACAGTTGTTAATTTTTAAAATAGTTAACTTCGACAACTTTCCATCCTTACTGATACTAACAGACATATTGTATAAAAAAAGGTCATCCACTATTTGACTGTTTGATAGGTCTAATGCAATTAGATTCGTAATATTGAAGAGCTTAATATGATCTTCCCTATCATATTTCTGTGTCATTAAAGATACATCTAGTAAAACCCACGGCCTGTATGATAATTTATGAATAAATTTTACTATATCCAATACATTAATATTGGAAAATAAGTTTTCAATCCTATGATTTCTAGTTCGTGGAATTATCACAGAAGATATGCCTTCATTTCTAGCTTTTAGAAGCTTCTCCCATTTTGATGATCCCAAATTCACGTCTAACGGTAACGATAGCTTATGGCATTTAAACCCGTCCAGCAAAAAAAATTTGCCAGCGAAGAGATTGAAAACACGCGGAGAATCATTGCTTAATAATAGTATTTCTTCCCATACCGTTCGCCACACCATCCAAGACGCTGTATCCAAATATGACGATTCTAAGGAATCTGCATTTTCTGCAATCTTCCTGGAACATATCAGCTTGAGCGATGGAATCCCTTTTCTCGACCTCGAAACTTCAATTAAATTATAGTCCAGTAATGGTGCCAATTTGGTCCAAGGGTAAGTAGTAGATGCGCTTGAATCTTTGAATAGATCGTTCTTGATACCGATCTTCAGAAGATCTTTCCCGAACGGTGATCTTGAAGTCCAGCTCTCGTCCTTTTTGGCTTTTTTTAACAATAATCTGTTCTTTTGAGTTCCATATCTTTTCGACTTCTTGTTTCTATTTCTTGATCTTAGCATTCGCCATGGGAATTGAAATAGTATTTCTTATCTCTATGGTGAATATAATTGATGTTAATCATATCAATCTCACGGGACCGCGAAACCACGACTATCATTTTTTTAAGATGAGCTTTGAAATATTTCAGATCAGTTGATATTGTGGTATAAACTAAAGTCTAATAGATAATTAATAGTTATAATGAAGCTTGATACTTCCCATATGCGGTATTTGACCGCTGAAGACTTTAAAGTACTTCAAGCGATTGAACAAGGTTCTCGTAACCACGAGTTGGTTCCTACACAGATGATCCATTCCATCGGTGGATTGAAGTCACCATCGGGTACGAATAAAGCAATTGGGGACTTGGCCAAATTAAAATTAGTGGCAAGATTGAGAAATGCTAAATATGATGGGTTTAGACTTACTTATAATGGGTTCGATTACTTAGCGTTGAAATCGATGTTGAATAAAAATACGCTATACTCGGTTGGTAGCATTATCGGAGTGGGTAAAGAATCAGATATTTATTCAGTGAGTGATCCAGATGGGCAACAGAAAGTGTTGAAAATCCATAGGTTGGGAAGAACTTCATTTACTACTGTGAAGAATAACCGTGATTATTTAAGAAATAGACAGACATCAAACTGGATGTATTTATCACATTTAGCTGCCCACAAGGAGTATGAGTTCATGGTTATATTATACAATAATGGGTTTTCAGTTCCAGAGCCTTTCGATTATTCTAGACACACTGTAATGATGGAATGGATCAGAGGTATACCAATGAAGCATTTACGTAAACATGATAATTTCAAAAAATTGTATTGTGAATTAATGAACTTCATTGTAAAACTTGCTAACCACGGGTTAATTCATTGTGATTTCAATGAATTCAATATCATTATTCGTGACAAAGAGGATGTTTCTAAACATGAATTTGACTTTGTTGTTATCGATTTCCCGCAATGTGTCTCTATTGACCATACAGATGCGAAAGTCTATTTTGATAGAGATGTTGCAAGTATTAGATCGTTCTTTCAGAAGAAATTTAGATACGATCCAGAACACGATCCTACAATGTTTGACACAGAAGGCTATGGTGATGGATACAAATACGCTTATCCAAATTTCAAGAGAGATGTTTCTAGGGTAAAGAGTTTGGATGTCGAAGTTCAAGCCTCGGGATATGCCAGAAAGAGAACGGGAAATAGAGAAGACAAGGATTTGGAAGCAGCAGTTCTGGGTATGAGGGTCAATGTGGAGGATGATGAAGAGGATGATCGTTCTGAAATAGACTCTGACTATGAAGATGACGACGAGGAAGAAGAAGACGAAGAAGAAGATAGCATAGACGAATACGATAGTGAAGACGAATTCAAAGACGATCATGAGGAGAATGAACAAATTATTGAGGCATTATCGAGCGGTGTAAAACAATTGAAAATGGACAAGTTGGGAAACTATATCTTAGACGAATAACTGAAATTTAATAAGTGTATAATAGAATAAATATGTACTTTCAAATCGATTTACAATTACAGATTAGATCTTAAACAAACATAATGATATTTATTGAGTCCCCGAAGAATAATAAACAAAAATGAAAAATTTATACAACAAAATATTAATTATTTAATTACTTAACGGGTAGACATACCTTTGGTGACGGCACGTTTTAAGGCTAATTCAGCCTTTCTGTAGTCATCAGCAGATGATTCTTCTAATTCTAAAGCGGCTAAAGCATCAGATAAAGCAACTTCGATCTTGTCCTTAGCAGACTTCTTTAATTTAGCAGATAAGACTGGGTCAGTGACTGTGGATTCAACAGAGGCAACGTAAGCTTCTAATTTTTGCTTTTGTTCGTGTCTCTTGGCGAAAGCGTCATCAGAGGACTTGAATTTTTCAGCGTCTTCAATCATCTTTTCAATTTCATCAGATGATAATCTACCAATAGAGTTAGAAATGGTAATGTTAGCGGAACGACCAGTAGATTTTTCAAGAGCAGTGACCTTTAAGATACCATTGGCATCAACTTCGAAGATAGATTCTAAGACTGGTTCACCAGCTTGCATTGGTGGGATGTTCTTTAAGTCGAATTCACCTAATAAAGTGTTTTCGGTACAGTTAACACGTTCACCTTGGTAGACTGGGAATTGAACAGTGGTTTGGTGGTCAGCAACAGTGGTGAAAGTTCTTCTCTTAATGGTTGGAACAGTAGTGTTTCTTGGGACAACTGGAGCGAAAACGTTACCTTGCATAGCGACACCTAAAGATAATGGAATGACATCTAATAATAATAAATCTTTAGTGTCATCAGAGGTGGATTGACCAGTTAAGATAGCACCTTGGACGGCAGCACCGTAAGCAACAGCTTCATCTGGGTTAATAGACTTTTCTAATTGCTTACCTTCAAAGAAGTCAGACAATAATTTTTGGACCTTTGGAATTCTGGTAGAACCACCGACTAAGACAACTTCATCAACACTGGACTTAGAGATCTTGGCATCCTTCATGACTTGTTCAACTGGGTCTAAAGTAGACTTGAATAAAGCAGAGTTGATGTCTTCGAATCTAGCTCTGGTAAGGTTAGCGGAGAAATCTTCACCTTCGAACAAGGAGTCGACTTCAACGGTAGTTTGAGTGACAGAAGATAAAGTTCTCTTAGCACGTTCACAAGAAGTTCTTAATCTTCTTAAAGCTCTAGCATCACCGGAGATATCTAAACCAGTCTTCTTCTTGAAGTCAGCCTTGAAGAAGTCTAACAAGTTGGTATCGAAATCTTGACCACCTAAGTGAGTGTCACCAGCAGTAGCCTTAACGGTGAAAACACCACCAGTAATGTTTAATAAGGAAACATCGAAAGTACCACCACCTAAATCGAAAATTAAGACGTGTCTTTCCTTTTCGGACTTACCAGCACCTAAACCGTAAGCAATAGCGGCGGCAGTTGGTTCGTTAATGATACGTAAAACGTTTAAACCAGCGATGGCACCAGCATCCTTGGTAGCTTGACGTTGGGCGTCGTTGAAATAAGCTGGGACGGTGACAACAGCCTTTTCGACAGCCTTACCGATCTTAGCTTCAGCAACTTCCTTCATCTTGGTTAAAACCATAGCGGAAATTTCTTGGGGAGAGAAGCTCTTGGTTTCTTCCAAGTATTCAACTTCAATTTGTGGGTTACCGTTACTGTCGATAACCTTGAATGGCCAGGTCTTAAGATCCTTTTGGACAGATTCGTCATCGAAAGCACGACCGATTAAACGCTTAGCATCGAAAACAGTGTTTCTTGGATTTAAAGCGGCTTGGTTCTTAGCAGCATCACCAATTAATCTTTCTTCGTTAGTGAAAGCAACGAAAGATGGAGTAACACGGTTACCTTGTTCATTGGCAATAATTTCAACTGCAGAGTCGTAAGTAGCGACACAAGAGTAAGTAGTACCTAAATCGATACCGATAGCACCTGGAAAAACACCGTCAGCCATTGTTAATTAAAATTAAATTAAGTTGTTGTATAAACGAACAAAAGAAGAATTCAATAATTTGAAAAAAATATATTTAAACCTCAGATGTATGAGAAAATTTTTCACTACCCAGCAAAATTTTTCACTTTGTTTAGGTCTTCTCATTAAACTGCAAAATCACATTTAATGAACTAATAAAGTAAGTACTGAAAACTGCGCACATTCCCAAATGTACTGGGATGCCCGGGTTACCCGCAACCGTGCTAGAAGTCTTCTAACGCATGTAAGGGAAGTATCGAGCATAGCGAAGGAAACCTATAGGCGAATGGGACGAGGATTCGTCATGCTGCGAACCCAAGAGCAGTCTATGGACAGGAATTATTGTCCCTGTAGTCCATGAGATAATTTTGGATGAGATTTATACTATATTGAACATTTGCGGGCGTGCCGCAAATCACTAGGTCTTGTGGTGTATTTTTTAAAGGAATAAATGTTGCACCTATTGTGGTTGAATATGGTAAGACCTTGATAACACAAGCAGACGATTTTCTAATACTATTGATTCTACTTCCCTGGAAACCCATTAGGAAACTTACTTCATGCTTTTTTAGCAGAAGGACCTTGCGGATGATATCTGTGTGTTGGGGTATCTCGCAAACCTTGTTTTTTTTGCGGAGACCGGTAGTAAGGCTGACAATAGATCTGGGACACAGGGGAAATTCGCAGAGGGGAGTGTGGATGGCAATGTCATTATAGTTTGAATCCATGACATCCAAGAGTTGGTTAATGGATTCGACGGTGTCGTTTTCTGTGGGGAGTTTGGAGTTAGACGAATAATTGGAGTGAATGCGAATCACATCACCGCTGAGGGTAGATTCATACAAACATGATAGGTTTGGGGCATTCGTGCATATGTATGACTTCATTTGCATTACTCTACTTGTAGTTACGAAGAAATCAATGAATAATGCTGACTCAAAATGTAATCGGGCCATGGTAGCTATTATCTGCTTCATATTTTTATTTTTAATTGGTGCCAAACTAACCATCCATTCGTCGACACATATTTTTTTGCACATGATCCAAGCTCTGTTGGTGTCTTCAAATGGGTGTGGTTGTTCAAAGAATATTTCAGCTTCGTAATTCTTGTTTAGTTCTGACAAGAACTGGATGATCTGTTTTGAACAAATTCGTACTTTAACGTGTTTCAGAGGATCACTATGGTCTGTTGTTTCCTGTAGTTTGTCAATGCTTATCAAGCTTGAATCGCCTGAACTCTTTCCGTAAATATAGCCATTTTTGATTTCTGAATATTTTATCCATAAGGCGTTGTATAAATATAGCGAATTGAAGATCCACTCGTCATCAGCGTCTGCATAACTTTCACCATAACACTCTTGGCTTCCCACAATACTTGAACTTGACATGCGATTAATAGATCTGGATTCATTTTCAGCCAGCGCTAATGCTGAGGTAGATTCTGGGCAATATATTCTATCACTGCTTCCATTGGGAGTTGGTTGTAACAGCATGATTGCATTTCTATGAAAGAAGCCAACAATAACTGAAATAACACTTCAAATGAACACCTCTACACTGTTTAAGACGAAACCCAACTAACAATCTATAATAACTTATAAGAGACGTAGCTCTACTGGATATTTAAATTTGTAAACATATTATTGCAGCCAAGTAGCGCGATTATATCTCTATTATTATTTTGACCTATAAAATCACCACGATTTATTATATATATTGATAGTAGATTAAGACTAATTCTGATACCTTCCAGCATATACTTCTCTCATAGTATCATAAAGAAAGCAATATTGATACACGGTTTGAACCATCATCATTCTTTCGCTACGCAATTGAGTAACAATCGCTTCAATTGGATCGATTTGGTCATTTGCTGGGTCGAGGATATCGGGACTCAATTCATTAAATAGCTGATCTAGAGCGATAAATGTACCAGTACGTCCAACACCAGCTGAGCAGTGTACGATAGGAACTGGTTCATTAGTGACTGTTTTCTTCAAAGCTCTTATCTCTTGCGACAAGGATATTAACGGACTAACAGAGGGTGGAACTCTAGCATCTGCCCATTTGTAGTAGTAGAAATGGTAGACCTTTTTCACCTGTGTTTTTGATCTCAATTCCATCTCAGTCAATAAGTAATCACCTTTCTCGATGTATGTTTCAGATACAAAGTGCACGGTCAAACCGGGTATTTCAATCCCGTCGTCTTGCAATAACGTAGTAACATTCAATACGGGATTAGTTTTGGTTGGCCAATACTGACAACATTTCTTCATACCACCTTCAGTCAAGGGTGTAACCATCGCAATGATCACAGTATCATTTTTCTGCTTTTCTGATTCATTATAACACATAGACCAAAAATGATGTATTGTATCTTCAAGAGGCCCCTGCGCTGCTATATACCCAACTTTATTACCCATACTTATATACGATGCATTGATGTAATCCGAGTGTCCTTGTTCAACTGGCAATTTGACCCTTGACTTATTCCACGGAAAAACGTTCGAATATCTATTCCTTTGTACACTTTTACGACTTACTGCATCACTTATGGACCAGTCGGATTTGTCCGGAGAGTTTAATGCTTCCCTTATTCTTTCTGATTCGATTGCATTATGTGTAGTAAAATTAATTCTTTGATCTGGTATCGGCAATTTCAAAAACAGGGGAGAAACCATTTTCTTAAACTTAATAAATACTGGGAACTTAATGGTGTACGAATTATATATCAACACAATTCCAAAAGGTAATTGTATGAAACAAAAATTAAATGGTTGTATGCTTTAGCATATCTAGATCAACTTTGCCATTTAAGTAACAAATCATGTGATCCATATTGGTTTGATATTGCAAAACTTGACTATGGCTGTTCATAAGAATAAGTACCTATAATGTGGTAGAAATAGTGCAGATGGCCATTTAGTCGATCTGTAATCTGGATGACTTCTAAAGGTACCAAAATGGTCTAAGTTCAGAAGAAAATGCCATTGAGTGAACTAATTACAATGTGAATCTACAGTTGATAAATACAGATACACATAGATTATTACACGCATATCAACAAGTAGAAGTCAAAATTGATATAAGTCAACTATGTTTACTGTCTTGTTTATTGAGAAAACATTTAAGGTGTTAAGGGAATTATAACTTTTTGATTACACCCTTTTCTAATCTATCTTGGATAAGTTGGTCACTATCACTTAAGACACCGGCAGTTTTTAATACTTTGGATGTGTTGTTGACTACTGATTCCCAGTCGATTTCACTCTCGCCGAGAGACTCGTTAAATTTCACGGTCTTTAACCAGGCTTTTGCGTCTTCTTCTGAGTAATCCAAGTTGGTAGAAATGTAGGATGTTGCCTTTTCCGGGTTTTCAAGGAAATGTTTAACACCTTCATTAATACAAGCAGTGAAATTCTTGATGTCTTCGTAATTGTTCTTCAATACGTTTTCCCGCACAGCAATAACCCACGATGGCCATGGGGTGTAAATCTCGCCAATCTTCTTAATCTCCTTGTTATCGTAGTATTTTTTAGAGGTGAAGTGTTCCCACATAAACGCATCACTGAATTTACTTTCGTCCTCGTATGTGTGGCTGACAGACTCACGTAAATTCTTAAAATTTGAACAAGTTGGGTGATCGCTGAAGAATGGAGATGGGAACTTCAATTGGAGTCCCAAGACGAAACTCATGATATAGGAACCTGAGCCAATTCTCGAAACCCCAATTTTCTTACCAGCCAAGTCTTCCGGCTTGGTAATGTCTTCTCTGTTGTATCCTGTACTGATTGCCCAACACAATGGCGATTGAACATAAGTTCCTGCCACTTTGTATGTCTCGTTACCTTTTGCAATATCAGCAACAAAGCCTTCCGTTAAACCTATGGCAATATCCACTTCATTAGAATTGAGTAATGCAATCAAACGACCTGTTCCCTCTGGAACTGGGGTGAATTCGATTTCCAAATTTTTAGAAGCATAGTAATTCTCTTGTTTAGCAAAGAATAATGGCGTAGAGAAGTGCTCCGGGATATATGCAACTTTTAACACAGTCATTGTTCTTGAAAGCAGGTTTAACATTGACTGATAATAAGTATGTGAGTAAAGTTGACGTCAAATTTCTGCCTGCTCAATGCGCATTTTACATTAGATTCTAAGGCACTACTATACCATAGAAAGTGACATTTTTTGGACCTTAGCTACATAATTCGCTACTGCTAGTTCATTCATTGTCAAGATATAATTATTAGATAAAAGAATATGGGTAGAAGAAAATATAACAACACCGCAATGACGTACAATCTATATTGTATTTAAAAAAAGGACTAACAGGCACATGCATCAGCACCACCACGATTGTTATTTGATCCAGCACTCAAATCAATTCTCCCTTCATTATTAGACTGCCCATTGACATTCAATCCCGAAGCAGCACCCTGGTTAGCACTCGTATCAGGAATTTTGCTACCTATTCCAACGAACACATCATTGACATTATACGAGGATTTGGCACTGGTTTCAAAGAATAATAATCCTTCTTCTTCAGCAAGGTTCTTTCCTTCTTCAATACTAACTTTTCTCAAGCTTTCTTCATTTTCGTTGTCATTTTCTGCTAAATCATACTTATTACCAACCAAAGCAATCGTTATATCTTTAGAGGCTTGTTCGTGTAATTCCTTGACCCAATGTCTTGCTTTAATGAATGATGCTGGTTTAGTGATATCGTACACAACTAATGCTGCTTGCGCGTTTCTGTAGTACATAGGGGCTAATGATTGGAATCTCTCTTGTCCTGCTGTATCCCATATCTCATATTTAATGGTACGATCCCCAATAGTACACTTTTGAGTTAAAAATGCTGCTCCTATAGTTGGCTCCTTGTTTTCTTGGAAATCATTGCTCACAAATCTTAAGACCAAAGATGATTTACCAACGGCTGCTTCGCCTAGCAAAACTAACTTAACGGACGTTGCGGGATT